ATCAAACTATAATAATTGACAAATGCTTGATATTCTTTTTATATTGAAACAAGTTTAATAATTCATGATGTGCTGCTTTCTTTATCGCAAGCAATTATTACCTTGTTAAATTATATTTTTCAGTTTAAAGTCAAAAGTCAAATATACAAAAATTATACATATACATATATATATATATATATATTTTTTTTTAAAAATTATTTTTTACTTGGTCTTCCATGAAAGACGTAGAATTATATAGAGTGAGTTTAGCTCCTTAGTAATGTTTCGACCAACAAAAAATAGAAGATTTGTAGTAGTCTTGGGGCAAGGCTAAGGAGCAACTAAGATAAATCTTGAGAAGCCAAAAAAAAAAATTATCAAAATTTTATTCTTCATAAACAATCATAATTTTATTTGTTTTATTGTTTTAAATCTTTGAATTGTGTTTCTTTGTAGCATTTATTTATTTTTAGGTCAAAATTTCAAATTAAATTTAAATATTACAAGAATTATTTTTTAGTCCGACACGCACCAAACATAGGTCTTCACTATTTTTACAATTCAGCTTCTTAGTCCGACGCAGCACCAAACGTAGGTCAGTACTTAATCCAGCTTAGTCCAATCCGAGCTAATCCAAGACAGTCCCAGGATTTAGTCCAGTCCATGACAGTCCGCCGTACCAAACGACCCCTAAGTTGGTTAGGCCGGATAGAATTAATTCTACACGAGCAACCAACTTAGTCATACCAGGCAATTATAATAACGAGTAGGTATTCTTGAAGTTTAGAGAGTCTACAATTGTCAAATAAAAGTGATCAACTACTTTTATCGTTGCATTCATGATGAATCGGTCATTTTCATACTAGCTAGTATCAAGTACCCATCTACCAAACTCACAAAACTATCGATATTGTGAAATATTTTACAAAATATCGATCAAATACTGACGACAGTGCTGAATATTTATACATTATATTAAACACATTTTTTCCATATTAGAACCTTATAGTTACAATCTGAAAAGAACTGTCAAAAATAATATTAGGCTACTTATTAATTAGACAATAAGAAAAGCTCTAACATACACAATACTTTTTTTATAAGCAAAAACACAAGTTGAATATCCAAAGGATTGTTTATTGACTAAGCATTAGAGAAATTCGGATAACACCTCACCAATTTCATTCTAATAACAATGCTTTTTAAAGGGTGTGGATGATTTCACACGAGAGTCTTTCTATGGAACATTAATATTGAGCCTATATGTTTTGAAATAAATTTCAAGTGTTTTAGAGTACTTTGATCAATTATCTTGGATTAGAGATAAAATTTGTCATTTGTAGGTTTCTAAAATAATAAATACTTGTTTGCCTATTGAACAACCTTCTAACTATTGGTCTAACTTCTGATATCTACTTGAGTATGGTTTTCATGAGGGCAAGATGTTTGACAAGATGCCTAAAAGAGGTTGAAGCGAGCAAGGAGCCAACGACACCAAGAAGAAGCTATGCCAATATTATTATCTTTAGAGATAGGCACACACCCACCTTATTAGTAGTAATTAAGTAGTGTCTCTCCTGTTGTTATACAAAGACGTTATTAATAACAAACGTTTTTACCTAGCGTATAAATTTGGACTATATTGATGCCATAAAATTAGTAAGTTCAATCATAAGCTATTATTATGGGATGACAATGTATTGTAACTTAACCATGTTGAAGAAACTCTCGTCTTTATTATCGAGAGGAATTAAATTGATTCTGTATTTATGAGATACTTGGGCGTTGTCATATTCGATCATTCATACCCTTGCAAGAAACCTTATAAATAAACGAACACTTAAAACCAGACTCCATCCAAGAGTTATTTCTATTTCCCAGCGAAAATAGAAACTAACTCGATACTACAAAGCACTATGTTGCACTAAATATGTATCCATTATTGGTTATTTTGCTTTTGGCAAGTCCATATGGAATGATTTTTGCGAGTTTCTGAATTTCAACCTCAGAGGTGTCAAATTTGAAGATCTTGGATGAATGTGAAAAACATACCTCCATTAAGTGCGCTCGTGAAGTTGGAGGCAGTATTTTCCAAGGTGGGACTAGTGTAAACTAATGGTTGTTGCCATGATCATGTGCACAGGGACGGTCCCTAGAAGGGTCTAACTTGGGCTATAGCCCAGATGAATTGTTATTTTATTAGCCAAAAATTTAATTTAGCCCACCCATGTCTACTAATGACAATCATGTCATCGCTCATCCAACAATATGCATCAGAAAAAGAAGATAAGACAAACTAATGAATTGATGAATTCTCTTTGACTATTTCTAGACATTCTTGTGTAGGACATCTCTTGTAAGTTCTCTCTAAAATGAAAAGTATTTGTCTTGTTCTTACTTTTTTAGTCTACTGCCAATTTATTTTATTTATATTTATATTTATTTTATGAACAGGCTACTGCTAATTTTCCTCTCACCGATAACCCTTTTTACACATAATCCCTTTAAGTGAAAACAAATAAATAACTAAAAGAATGAACTGATACACTGCATTGTAGTTGCACCTTTATGTTCCACTCTTCAGTGCGTACATAAGGTAAATTTAGCTCACCTAATTTTAAAATCCTAGGTCCATCCCTGCTTGTGCATGTAGGCAAAACATGCCATGATCTCTTCTTCAAATCTGTCCTTACGTCTAAACCCAATGTTGACAAATCTAAAACTTTGGCGTTATTAACCGTTCAACCATCTCCTCATACATGTACTCAACTAATTGGAATATCAAAGCATCAATGCAAACCTTTATTAAGGTACTATATGTAAAAACGTCAGGCTGGCAATGAGGGAGGGTCTTCATCTGGTTGAGAATAGAAAATGCCTCATCAATTAGATTTGGGCATATACTATATATGGTGGTCTTCATTGTAGTTCAAAATTTTATTATAAGAAGATTATAAAGATAAAGATATGATTCATATATATTAAAGTTCCAATATTCGAATTCAATAATAGTGACTCAAAATATTTTATGAATATATTCCTCTGAAAAAATAAATAAATAATAAATATATATAGATTCTGCAGTAGCATTCCAACAGCCAAAGTCCAAGACTTTGACATCGTCTAGTTCTGTGGTTCCTGCAAGTTGTTTTCGTTGCAAAAAATGTCAAACAGCTAGCTAGTCCTTGAATCTATGGGCAGAATTTCATGAAAATAAACCAAGTGAACAGATTCAACCTGAAGGGGCCTATCTTTCTACATATATATCTCTGTCTCCATCTCCTTTTAGTGCCCACCACTATTTTCTGGTGCTTGTGTTTCCAACATCCCACACCAAGACAAGACTATATTTCACTGCATATTCGTTTAAAGTTTCAAATCAACAAGCCAAACCAAAAGAGGACAACTGTGTTTGTCTGTTTACGTTGAAAAAAGCAAGTTCCAACAAAAAAATTATTGGAGGTGTTGAATTTGTAGAACAAAAATAATGAATTGTTGGAGCGAAAATGTAAACAGATTTGCTCCACCAGAATAATAACATTCTAATTTGGGTGATAAAATTCTCTGGGATCCAATTTGATGGGCTCCTTTGGGCTGGAGTTCTCGTCTGAGCTTCTTTGTACTGTGGGAGATTAAATAAAGGCCCAAGGCCTCACTTTACCACTTATTTAATCTCAAGGAAAAATTCACTTATGGTGGTCCGTCTAGTTCGCCGGATTTCCCCTTTGGTTCTTGTAGTTTTAATTTTGGCTTGATCCCTGTAGTTTGATGTCCATCGTAATTTACAGACATGTCTAAATTTCCGTTTAATTTCGTGACGGAATAAACATATCCCTCACGTGGAGGGGTATCATGAAATTGAACTGAAATTTGGACGTGTCCTTGAATTGCGATGGATATCAAACTACATGGGTCAAATTAGAATTGAAACCACACAGACCAAAATGGAAAATTTGGGAAACTACATCGACAAAAAATGACCTTTTTGCCTTTAATCTACCACCAAAGTACTTGAAAAGTTGTAATACTTGCGTCCCTTTGTGAAAACTCAGCCTTTATTTTTCTGTAGATATAAGCAATGTTGGTTGAGAGGAGAATCAAACACACAATCTCAAGTAAATGTGCAAATGCCCGTTTGAGCTACAAGTTCCTTGCAACTCAGCCTCCATTTTCTCTAGTATGCCAAACTTTTAATCTTGTTTTAAGGCCTTGAGTAACAAGAACAGCACTAGATGTAATATGATTCGCATTAATGATGCTGCTACTCAAGATTTTCAATTTAAAAGGGTGGTTCGGTTCAAATTCTCTTTCTGGGAGGCTTTATTATGTAAGAAAGTTGAAAATCACCACGCAACCTTGGAGACTACTTGCACTTGAGAATAAATTACATCAGCTTTTCCAGATTCCCAATCGAGCTCTCTACCGCAAAGGTCAATGGATTAAAAAAGGCTTTCTGTGCACAATGCCAGTCGAAAAATGAATTGATATAGTTTGTTTCTGCCTAATTGGGGACCATTGAGTTTCTGAGAAGTTGTTTACTAATTCAAGCTCTAAGCAAATGCTATAACATTTATAGTAACAAATAAAAATGATGTAAAACTCAAATGAGCTCATCAAATCCCATCTAATTTCAACCATAAATGATTTTTTTATCTTGTTTATGCATTAGATAATGCACTCTATATACTATTGGACACTGCTAGCCTCCTACCCTCGAAAGAGACATTCATATTTCCTGTAAATCACAGTTTGATACCTAAGCAATTCATCCAAACACAAAAGGAAAAATTTATGCACACATGTAAAGCTATGATTAGTAGGAAAGAGTTCCTACTTCGAGAGGAAGGAGACAAGTATTTTGATATACCATTTTCCTTCTTGTTTCTTCTGTATGGCTGGTATATGACAGGAATTTCTGTCTAGCTAATTGGCATTAGTACATGTCTTATTAAGTTATTATCAACCACATTACGTATCGCTCAAGGCATAATCATAAAACATAAATGAATATTCGTTGAACTGGCCGGCCGGCTACTAACAACATATATATGTTTTAAGCGATTAACTATAATTATAAACTTTGATGGACGTTTTTAACAAAGCTAAACCTCGACCTTGTCATACTCAGACAACAATAATATAAGCCAACGTACTGTCCTATTTATTTGCTCCATGTTCCACCAAACTTTAGTGTACCACATTTGCAACAATGTCTACTGAAGAATTCTCCGGCGATGCTCAGCTCTATACCGATGGAAGTACGAATGGTTTTGATCCCAAAACCGGAATATATCATACCCTGCACAACCTCGGTCGCCATCAGAAACTCCCCACCAACCCTAACCTTGACACTGCCACATTTGTACTGTCACAGTTCCCACCCCATCACCAGGCCAAGTCACGAGTTGCACTCATTGACTCAGCCACCAACCAGCGTGTCACCTATGCACAGCTTCATCACTCAATTCAGTGTCTTGCCTCAGGCTTGTACCAGGGACTTGGGGTTAGAAAAGGGGATGTGGTTTTTCTCTTGTCCCCAAACTCACTTCTGTACCCAACAATATGCCTGGCAGTGCTATCCATTGGTGCAGTTTTAACCACTGCCAATCCACTCAACACCAAGTCAGAAATCGGTAAGCAAGTTCGTGACTCGGGTGCCAAGCTTGCTATTTCAACTCCTGAGGAGCTTCACAAGTTGGCCCCAACTGGGGTGCCTACAATTTTAACATCGAGGCCATGGTTGAGTGGAGACAACTCTCTGTGCATTGAAGAATTGATTGAAGGCTGTGATCCAATTCCAACCGAGTTAATACAAGCCCGCCCAACTCAGTCGGACACTGCCGCTATTTTGTACTCTTCAGGGACTACTGGAACAAGCAAAGGTGTAGTTCTAACACATGCAAATTTCATTGCCGTTATGACAATGCTTAGATGGACTGTGGACGAGACATCAGCTCAAGATGATGTGTTTCTGTGCTTCATTCCTATGTTCCACATCTACGGGCTCGCTTTCTTTGGTCTTGGATTGTTTTGCTCAGGAACCACCACTGTTTTGATGCAAAAGTTTGAGTTGAACACCATGTTGGATGCTATAAAAACTCACAAGGTGAGTAACATACCTGCCGTACCGCCGGTGATTCTTGGACTAGTAAAGTATGCAAGCAAAGCTGCTTGTGACTTGTCATCGTTGAGGAGGGTAAGTTCAGGAGCTGCACCACTGAGCAAAGAAGTAGTTGATGAGTTCAGAGAGAGGTTCCCTTGGGTCCAGATGAGGCCAGGCTATGGCCTAACTGAAAGCTGTGGTGCAGCAACGTTTTTCGTTTCGGATGAACAGGCTAGGGGTCACTCTGCCTCTTGTGGTTTGTTGCTGCCAAGCTTTTGTGCTAAGATAGTTGATGTTGAGACTGGAGAGGCCTTGCCACCATATAAGGAAGGGGAGCTGTGGCTGAAAAGCCCTACTATTATGAAAGAGTATTTGGGGAATGTGGAAGCAACAGCTGCAACTATTGATTCAGATGGGTGGCTGAAAACTGGGGATCTTTGTTATTTTGATGAGGATGGGCTTCTTTACATTGTTGATCGGATCAAGGAGCTCATCAAGCATAACGGGTATCAGGTAAAACTCATCTTATCACCAATACTTTACTTGAATGGATAATTGAACCAATATTTCACATTACCACTGATGTTTGTATAATTAACCGAACAATAATGTTAGAGTGATCACATTTTTAGACCGGATTTGCTACCGCATGTGTGACAATTGATGTTAATTCACTGCCTCGTCAAGTGGCCAGCAAGTATGGCCAACATGTGATCTCTCTAGCATTTTTCTACAAATTGCGTAGTTTTCCAAATGTCAAGAACTAGACACAAGCTCCAAATTAAACTGTTCGAATCATTGTGCAGGTTGCTCCGGCAGAATTGGAGGCAATACTTTTGAGTCATCCTCAAATTCTTGATGCAGCCGTTATACCGTGCGCCACTTAGCTCTCTGTCCCTGTCACTCTCTATTTCTATCTATATCTGTTTCCTTCTATAATACAAAAAACAAACTGCAGGGTTGAAGATGAAGAAGCAGGGCAAATACCAATGGCATATGTGGTGAGAGCAGCTAGTCCAGATGGACTCACTGAAGACCAAGTCATTCAATTTGTTGCCGGCCAGGTCACTCGTAATTTTGTCTCTTTTTTCTGTAGCCATCAGTCTAAGAAACACTGTTTTAACTTTTCTATTCGGAAATTTCAGGTGGCCCCCTACAAAAAAGTAAGAAGAGTTGGGTTTATCTCTGCCATTCCGAGGTCACCTGCAAGTAAAATCTTAAGGAAGGAACTGGTTAATTTACAAAGCAAACAGCAAATAGTCTCCAGATTGTGATTGTTTTCTTCCTTTGCCATACCGAGGTCATCTGCAGGCCCAACTCCTTTTACAAAATTCCAGGAGAAGCTAGAAATCTGGAGGACCTTTAGAAAGTCAAACGTGTGATGGCCTGCTAATGCATGAGCGAACATAATTAGTACCCTGTTTAAATATATATATATATATAGAGGATAATGGAGTTATAAAAATACAGATTATGGTGGAAAGAGTTAGATTGCAAAGCATGTGATTGTCATTTGAATCATACAATTGAGTTTTTACATTTGAAGAACCAATCCATGTTCTCCACTTTAAGAACCAATCCAATTCTCCTCTTGCTTAATTAATATCGCCAACCCATATTGCTCACTAATCAAATGTTTGAGTTGAAGCAATTCAATGAGAGGTCCTGAAGACTAATGACCGGAATGAGCCACTGAATCTGTGGTGCTTTCAGTTGTAAAAGAACATCAAATTGGAAAAAGCTATAGAGCTTAGCTCCAAAATGTTATAGACCCAGATATTTTAAGACAAGCAGATTTCTTGTGTAACTCAGATCTAGTCCTCCAGAAACTAGCCTTCTCATGTTGTTCTTAGAGCATAGCAAAATAGAGTTATGCCTGTACAACAGATGACAGATCAGTCAGTATCCGGTTCAGACAAGTAAAGTCACAAAGAGAAGGAAAAACCAAGTAGTTGCTGTTATCTCCTATACTCCTTACATACCATTTTGGATATACATTACAAGGAAATAAATCATTTTTGGCATATATGAGGCCCTTAGAATAATGATAAAATTTATACACGAAGACATATGAATTACATAGAGAGTCTGCAATAACAACATAAAAAGCATCAACCAGAACATTTTGGAACTCTTGTATTATCTCTTTCCAACCTAGGAGTTCCCTTGAAAATGATATCTGAGAATTTGTCTTTCCAACTAATTTAGCCAGATGGACAGTGTTAATTGCTTAATGTTGAAACAAAAGCAACTAAACTCATCTGGAGAATGAGTCCTCCATGTCATGCCACGACATTCCAATTTACTTTGACAACCACCAAATAAGAGAGATACTAGGGAACTGGTTGATTACTCCAGCATAAAGTCTTGAATTTCCTTATTTTATTTTTCGGAACCAGGAATAATAAGTTTTCTAAAAACTACCCAATTCTGCCATTAGAATTACAAACAAAGAACAGAAGAGGAATCAGGTCATAATTGGTGACTGCAACTTTATGAAAAAATATAGTTGGAGCATGGGATTGCATGTGCCTACATGGAAATGTTATTATTTCTACAAATCTTATGGAAGAAGTTTCTTCCTTGTTCTGATCTACAGGTATTCTAAAGACACTATTAAGCAGAAGCAATAGTGCACCACCACAGAAGGTTCCTAAATTAATTGATAACCCCTCTCAAATCCGCCATTAAATGAACTCCTAGCCTCTTTTTCTCACTCTCCATCTTTAGTCTGGACCAACAACATAAATCAGCTAGGAGATATGAAACCCCATGAAACAAATAAAAGGTAATATGTGCAAGTTTTCAAGACTTTCTTAGAGTTCAGACTAGCTCAGAGATTTTCATGTTCTAACATAATCCTGGTTTCAGCACTAGATGAATTATGAGATGGATAATTAATATGGCATAAATAATCCTACAAAAGTTATATCATTTGACTAGCTAGCTCTTATTAGAACAGAATTAAGCCTGTGAATGCTTGGGTCAATAGTTAATGAGTAAAATCACGGGTTATAAACATAGACAAGCATGATCTATTTTCAAACAAATACTAAATGACTTTGTATAAAAACAAACAGAAGGCTGCAATGATGCAGCCTCGTAAACTACAGAGTAAAATTTCACAGATCAAGTAAGAGATCCTTTTTCCAACCACAAAATCATACATGTTAACGATATTAAAAGGAATATCTTAATTGGGAACTACAAATTACCGCATTGTGGTTTGTGAGGGCACACATTCTTGACTGAAGGGTTCAACTCAAGTTATTTAAGAGATAAAACATGTTTCATACAAGGATAACCCAGTCTCCAACCATTATTCCATCCCTACTTCCAATCTGACTGTATTCCTGAAACCTTGAATTACCAATTTCAACTTCCATTCTCCAAGTTCTCTAACATTGGGATAACCCATTCTCCATCCATTATACCATCCCCATCTACTTTGAACTCCTTGATTTCCTTTTGAGCTGGCATTTCTCTAGTATTTCGACTCCCTAGGAAAACAAGGTCCAACATTTTCCTCCGAACATCATATATCAGATTAGACTGAATGAGGCACCCTTTACTATATGCCTCTCTAAGAAAAACAGTTAAACTATTACGTCTGGTTGATATGTAAAAAATTCCAGGGTGCTTCAAGATAAGCTCACGCACATTAACTTCCATAGCGAAATCCTTCTGAAAATGAGCTAACCTTTCAACCTCAACCATCTTCTCTGCTGTCAAACTCAAGAACTCATGAAGAATACCAACCGCCCTTTTCTCATACCTCTCAATCCCTCCACAAGTACGAATGCGGACAGACTCTTTCCTGTCATAAGGCTTCACATAAGGAAGTCTTTGCCAATTCTTCAACTTATCTCTAAACCCAGCCTGGATCTCAAACCCCGTTGGGAAATTGATAGGGAATGCATACTTTGTCTCGAACTCACTCAACCACTTCTCTCTAAATTCCTTGTTTCTCCATTTCTCAATTTCAGCCACATCCAAATTTTCATCTCTACTAATCAATTCTACAACCTCTAAATCAACCAACTTAAAATCCTTCGAATATTTACCAAGAATGGATTCCCTGAAATCCACAGGCAACCCCAATTCTCTCCTAACCAACCTCAAAGCATGGAGATGAAGAGTGCCACTCACAGACATCATCAATAACTTCTTTACCCGATGGACAACTTCCAGCTCCAATTGTTTCATAGCATCTGCTTCTTCCTCTATTAAACCCATCATTTTCTTGCTTATCCGACAACACAAATTGCGCCGTACCGGATGTGTAAACACCTCAAAAACATGTGGGTATTTGTGAACAAAGGCGCCAATGCCGACATTAAGCCCCACGAGGTTCCTCCATCGGGACATTAGCTGTAAGGACACAAAGGGTCCGCGCTTCCGACTGGACATGAGGACATGGAGTTTTAGGGTGATATCGAGTTTCTTGAGGTGGGTTGTGAGCTTGTCTAGGTTTGAGTCCCTGGTTCGATCTTCTAAGCGTGTTTGGGCGGAAATTATAGGCTTTCTCCACCTCTTTTGCACAAATGAATTGAAGGGGCCAAAAGGGGTCACTTGTGAGCTTAATGAGCAAGCTTTGAACTTGAAGAGGCTGAGTTTGGAGCTTTCTAACAGCCTCATGGGGTCTGATTTCTGGTGGATTGAGCTCCAAAACTTGAAAAATTTTAAACTTTCTTCAGCTCAAGGCCCACAAGAACCAAACTCTTTGAATCAAACAAAATTTGAGAAAAGGAAAACGAAGCAACTTTTTTTTTTCATAGAGAGTGAGCTAGCAAGAGACAAAGAGAGAAGGCTGACCGGTTATCGGAGGGCTGATCAGTGATCGTCAATATGAGCTTGGAAAACCAAGGCTTATGCATTTACGAAGTGAAGCGAACCTCTGCAAACTGATGCATTGATGTTTGAAATTGCAACGACGAAGAGTTGAGAACCAGAGGAGGAGCAACAAACCTTTCAGCGCCCTTTCGAATACCACCCCAGGAGAGAGATATATGGTAAATGTCACAAATGGTACGGTAATTGTCACTTTAACTATTGTAATTTCAATTTTGTCAATTTTACCTTTTAATACTTTCAAATTCGACAAAATTGCCAAAATTGCCAAAATTTGTAGGAATTTGTGTGAAATCTGTTTAATCAATTTGACTGAGGTAATTGTGGTGAGGACATTTCTCTCTTCTAAAGTCGTTTATATATCAGCAACCTTAGCGGCTAGGATTGCTTGGAGTACAGTTCGGGCTAATTACCTGTTATAATACTACTACAAATCCTCATCAAATCGGGCCCAAACATATAGATTTTGGCACAAATGCATCCTCTCCCTACTCTTAATGAGTTCTTTAGAGTCCAGATTCATTCCAGAGAGAGAGATGAGTTGCACAAATGCAAAATTGATCTGCGCAAGCTTCAGCCACCAAAGCTGAGTTTCATAGGAACAACCTTCCCATAGTAAAATTGATCATCATGGTTGCGAACATTCGATCCCAATCCAGCCTCCCCAGATTCCTATACTGCTTGTCAAGATGGTCGAAGAAAACCTCAAACTACTCTAATTCATATTTGATTTGTTAAATTAGATTTATTAAGTTAACCAGTCAATTCTCATTGTAATCAAATAGATATCAGATTTGAAATCTTAATCCTTCTAGTAATTCAATTTGCGACAGTATTTGTAAATTTGTAACACACAAAACTTGACTGAATTTTAATCAAAGATTAGTGTAATGACGAGTTGGATTGGCCAAAAGAATTAAATATCACAAACCTTTACTGAGGCCGTGAGAATAAAAACACTTTGAACTACTGTATCTTACAAATCCTTACTCACGATCACTTCAGACAAGAATAGAAATCTGAAGATAGAAAAAATGATCAAATGACTGATTATTGAATCCAAACAACAATGCTTTTATAGAGACATATTCCTATCTTAGACTGTATTTTTCATCCTTTTACTATCTTAATACGAAAATTTTACTGTAGGGTCATCACTTCGAGATTTTCCATTCTGACGAAATGCAAATAGTTTCACATATTCTTCCGCCAGGCCACCGCTGAGATCTGCCTGATCTTCTTGAGAGAGCTGTCACAGATAACAGTTATAGGTGCTCCTCCCCAATTCAATATTTTGGAACCGACTTCCATTTTTTCCCCCTTTTTTTCAGGACTTCACACCGCCCTTACAACTTTTATGCATCGCCACCGCCACCCCCAGCAATCCACCGCCAAACCCCGCCAGAACCTTGTCTCTGAGCAGATGAGGCAAGCTCCATATCTTGTTCCAATGCAGATTTTTGTCCCCGAAGTGCCTGTACTTCATCCTCAATGGACTGCACCGATTCCAGTTTCTTTTGTAGTTCACTGATTTGAGCCTACAAATAGAATATTGAAAAAGAATCAGCCACCATGCAACACACATTCCATCTGTTGAAGGGCACGTCAATAATTGACCCAAGCCAAATAAGAAAAAAAAAACAAATGATGGAAGGAGAAACCTCCAATTTAAAGCATCTTGATCTCTCAGCTATTAGTTGTCCTTGGACTGAATGAAGTTCCTGAAAGGGAAAGTTGAAACGATAAAAAACTCTAAAATAAAATAATCACCTTGCTAACTAGTGTATCTAAGGCGCATACCTTGGACAACTCAGCATGAGTATTGTTGACTTCTTCAATCTCCTGCCCGAGCCTAGAATTTTCTGTCTTGACTTCTGAAAGCGACAATTCCAGCACGCTTTTCTCCTCTGTAAGGGTTTCTA